CGTTCGTGTCAAAAATTCAATTTTTGAAAATAAATTGTAGATAGAGATAAACATTATAAATTTATATTGCATTGATGATTAAAATAAAAGAAAAAAAATATAATTATTATATTGTGTAACCGAAAGGATGAAAATGGAAAGAGTTCTATATATATATGAATTTAAATGAGAATGAGACATAATGAGAAAAAAAATAAAAATAAATTTGTACCATTTGATCCATCAAGTCAATGATCATGATTAAGTCAAATTTTAATAAGTGGCAGCCAAATATGCGGTGACAATCTCGTAAATAGGTGGACATACCGTGATCAAATGTATACATAACGGTAGATTAATTCTAACAACTAATGAAGGTTTTTACTAAATCAAGAATGAGTAAATAGATTAAAGGCTAAATTTTTCTCAAGATTATTCTACAAAATATTATCTATTCATTCAATCCTTATTTAATTCTACCAATCGTATGGATAATCGCTACATTAACTTAACCTCTCCCTTGAGCAAACCAAATCGTTGATTAATGTCTATATGTATCCTTCCTGTCTCAAGATGAACAATTAACTCCCCTAGTTCCTAAGATTCTAGTTCTTTCGCAAGATTCTATCAGCCTCTTGATCTATTTAGTTTCCTACATTATCAATTTCACAATTCTAGCAAGCGAATATCTCTTATTGGTCTCAAATAAATCACAAATATGCATAAATACGGGTTATATATAGACACAACAAATATAAGCACAAGAAATTAACAAACGAATGATAGACCTGAATGAAATAAAACTACTTCATAAAATTCGAGTACTCACAATCATAGAATAATAAAAATAAAAAAAAAGATTTAGGTACTAAACATGTACTCTCAAAATAAATAAATGCACAAGTTTAATGTAGAAGAAAAAGATAAAATAAAGAACTACCGTTGCCGTTAGTTCCCAATCTTCAACCATTACTCCTTTCAATCCTTCGTGCGTCTTGAGCTTTTTCTTGACCTCCAAAAGTGTTAAAAGTTCCCCTAGTTATGTTCCTTAGGTCTCATTTTAGACTGTGGGTCAAATAGATGTTGAAAAATAGAAGTAACCACATAAAAATTCTTAATCCTCATGGGCTGCGCTTTACGTCACACAACTCGTGTAACTTAATGGTTATATCCACAAGAATTGTGTGGCTATTTTTATCAAATTTCACAACTTTCCCAGACTCTTACGACTTGTATGCCTTAATGTCACATATCACACGAGTCGTATGAAAAAAACTGTAGCTCAATTCAAAATTTTTCCTCCGACACATGACTCGTGTGGCTTATGGACCACATCACACGAGTCGTTTGACCTCTTGTGCACCTTATCTTCATCTTTTTTCATCGCGACTCTAATCTTTATCGCTTTTTCGGGTATTTTTCCTTAAAAAAACTAGCGACAAAGAAAACTTCCATCATAAATTAATAAATCAAATAAAACGGTGAACAATCCAACGATAAACACGATCAAACCTATCAATCTATCACTCAAAATGCATGTAAATATGTCGCATGTTATATGTCATTTACAAAAAAATGTGGGAGATATACAAAAAAATTATTATTTTCATATTCATATATTTCCACAATTTTAGATTTTATTTGGTTAATTAACAATAAACCACTCTAATAAAAAACCACATGAAATTATTATCAATTGAAATTATGATTGCAAGCTTGATTGTGATGTGATATGTTTGTGTAATAATAAACTTGTATCCAACATCTATCACGGGCGGAACCAAAAAATTTAATTAGGGGGACTAAATAAT